ATGGAGCGGACGGAGGTGAGGCGGGCGGCGGGCGCAGAGCATCCTGCTCCCCTCTCCTGATGCCACCGTGCTCGGGGCCCACCAGCCTCGCCGGAACAATTACCTTCCCGATTAGCGGGTTTTCAGTCCCTTCTGTAAAGTCTCAGCTAAATTACTTCCCTCCCCCCAACCCGGTCCAGGCAGGTACTGAGCGCAGAGGCCTCATTAGCATGTAATTAGGTAGATTCCAGCAAAACCATCGTCAGGCTCCCTCCTTCTCCTCACCCCCCTCCAGAACCCGGTATCAGGCATCAGCACGTTAGCGAGATGTAAATTAGCACCTCCAGACGAGAGCAGAGTTCACCCTGCACTGGGCTCTGCCTTGCTGTGCCAGTGCACTCCTCGTTTTAATAGTTTAATAAAAATTAGCATAATTAACGAACATCTGTATGATCCAGAGTGGTGCAATTTGGCACTTGGAAACGAGGACTTAAACATTATTGCTGGGAGTTTAATGTTGTTTTAATTCTTTTTGGCACTGCGCAGTGAAATAAACGCTCGGTGCCGCGAGTTCTCGGCTGGCTCTCATTTGCATTTTCCTCCCTTTGATTATGAGCAATCGCGGACTACCCGGCAATTCATCAAAGCAGAAATTATTTTAAAATACCTCATCGTGTTCAGGCTACGGCAGAGCTGGGGGAGGCGAGCTGGGGCTGGGGGGTCCCCGTCACGCCTGGGGTGCATCTCGGCCCCCCTGCCCACCAGCAGATCACCCTGTGGCAAACAGACCCAAATTTTTGTTTTCCTTCTGGTTTTGCAGCAGGATTTTTCCTGCCTGGCTGGTGAGGACAGCGGGGCAGGGGGATGCAGCCCCCATCCCCCCCCGCCCCGTCCTTCCCAGCAGCGTCGCCGGGGCTTGGCTCAGTGCTCCTTGCTGGGGTGTGGGTCCCTGGGGAGCATCGGGATCCCAATCCAGGGAGCACTGGGATCCCAACCCGGGGACCATTGGGATCCCAACCCAGGGAGCATGAGGATCCCAACATGGGGAGCATCGGGATCCTAATCCAGGGGGCACTGAGATCCCAACCCAGGGAGCATCACTATCCCAATCCAGGGAGCACTGAGACTCCTGGGATCCCTTCCCGGACTCCTGGGACCCATTAAATGCCCGAAACAGGCAGCATGGGACTTGCTGTGGTGCGCATCACTTTTAACATCTTGTTAAAAAAAAACCCCTATTTTGATGGCAAACCTCTTACACCTGTGTGTGCTAATTTCTCCTCTTACTTGCGTGGTGGGGTGGAGGTTTTCTCTGTTATTATTTGACTCAAATATCTGCTGTCAGAGGGAAAATCACGCGTAAATCTGGGGAGGGAATGTGTTACCCAAGCATAATCCATGTGGAGGGGCTTCACAGAGCTCCGGGCTGGAGCCTGGGACATCCCCAGGGTTGACACCTGTAACTAAACTACCCCAAAATATCAGAGTGGGAATTAAACGCTGGATTTCTGAGCGAGCCGCAGGACGCAGGGGGAGAGCGGGGTGGGAGGAAGAGCAGGGTTAGGAAGGACAGCAAAGGATTTACCAGGGGCAAAGGTGGGATGGGAGCATCTTCTGGTGGGAGCCTCGGTAGATCCAGGTGCCGAAGGGAGGGACCTGAGCCGCGTCCCCTGCCCCGGCACTAAGCCCGCATCCCTCCGCTGGCTCTCCCCAGGAGTACCACGTCTACGGCTGGTGGGTCGGAGAGCTCAACGACGCGGTCGGCATCGTCCCGAAGGATTACCTGGCGGCTGCCTACGACCTGGAGGAGCGATGAGGACCACCCGGGTGAGAGGTGCCACCGCTGGGGATGGGGCGTGGAGGCGGGTGCTGGGGAGGTGGCTCGGTTCCTGGGGTGCCCTGGCATCTCCGGGGTGCCGAGCCTCGGGGACTGTCTTTGGCTCCATCTCCTGGTGTCCATTTTACTTGGGAGCAAGCGAGACTGGGAAGCACAGTCACAGCTGAGGGACAATGCCACCCTGCGCGGTGTCCCTGCCTGGATTTCGAGTCCTTCAAGCTCTGGAAGAAACATGGTAAAACCACAGCTG